TACCGCAGTGCGTATATACGCTGCCTCATAATGCAAAGGTCCCTGGTTCAATTTCCCCCACCGGCGGTGACAGCTTTTTTTAATTTATTTATTTAAAAATTCATCATGATTAAGATGTCATAACCTCACAATTTCAAATTTACCGCCATCAGCGCCGCCGCCATCTGCAAATTTGAACTTCGCGCCACCAGCGACACCAGCGACACCAGCGCCAACGCTAACTAGCGGCATTTTATTGAGGCTCTGACGATCAATCCGCTTTGTATCACTACTTTATTGCACTATGAACCCAACACGAAGATCAACAAATCAGCATGTAAATATGGACGTCAAATTCAATTTCATATCAAGTTTCGAATGGTGTTCGTAAGAATTCCTCAGTTGTATAAAAACAGTGCTTCGCAATAAATTTCCTCAGTAGATTTTTGAAGTGAAGGTAATCAGTATTGGTCAATTTAGTTGGAAGTACATTATAGATCTTCAAATTTATGGAATTGTTTTGTGATTTTGCAAGTCGGTATCTTGGAATTTGCAGTAGATTAGCAGACCTAGTATTGTATTCATGATGATCACCCCGAACCTGAAATTTATTTTTGTCTTTATGGATCTCCAGTAACGATGTTGAAGCTTTGTGCTACCAAATTCTGTTCTGGAGAAATACTATATAACTATAAGAAACATTCCAAAAACAATAACGTGTTGACAAAATATAATTCTGAAGATTTACTATTGATTTGAAATAAGGATCAGTTGGACTATCATACCTATTGCAGGATGATGCCGAGTCATAGACATGACAAGGTAGTGAGTCAGAGGAGATGAGCTATCGTCGATGATATAACCATCTATGAATTATAGATTCATTCCTGTTTGTACCTTTCGAGTAACAACTTGTCTTGTAAGCTATTAGTCGGGTTCAGTTAAATATAGGGTGTTACAGTGTTTGTGTCGTATTTTCATCCGAAGACCTCACCCTCCTACACTATATAGAATAAGATACTGATAGAATACCTCTCGACAAAATGAGATAATGATGAATTACCGTCATGAAGGAATTTTGTTCAGATAGATTAAATTTCGATGACTTTCGTATTCATACACACCTACAAAAATTCAATGTTGATTCTTTACACTCTGGAGTTCATGGTGTCCTCATGAGTTGTTATTTTTTTTTTCCAACTATTACAGATCCTCTCCGCAGTTCTTCTGAAGCTGACTCGTAGTCATGTAGTGGGTGCTGACTCGTAGTCATGTGGTGGGTACATATTGTGAATGGATATCTTGTAGTGAAGAATCAAGAGAAAAATACTGAAGTTATAATAATAAAATAATGTATAATACTTTCATGATATAATAGGGTGATTTCTCTCATATCAATTGGGAAGGAGTAATGCTTGGCTTAATAGTTTGCGAGAGGTAATATTCGAATAGGCACTAATAGTATAGGGGTAACTGAAAGTACGACTACGACACTATATTCAAATATAACAATATTTATTATAGCATGAAACATTATGGGTAGCAGTGATGATAAAAATATGATTAAACAACAATGAATATAAATACCTAATAACAACTTACATAATGATGACCTTACGACGAGCTCTTTTTAAGTCAAGAGTAGCCCCAGACCAGACTAACTTTGGAACCCTCACATCCTATATTTATATACATCATTTTATAAGATATGTACGTTTCTCATGAGAGTTCCTTGGTCAGTTCTCATAATTCAATATCAACGGATGATTTGATTAACTTTATGTTTATAAAACTATTATGCTATCTCATACCGAAGCACGTCATCTTATGATGTGAAAGATATTCTCACTACTTCTGAAAGACACTTTCATGCTGCAATGAGATCTGACTCATGAAAATCAATTCGAAAAGCAATATCGGGAGCTAAGAACTACGAATTCGACTGTTCCAAAGGAGAGTATGTTTTCGCGCAGGAAAGCAGCGAGTTTAAACCTTCACAAAATAAAAGATCTAATATTTCTTCAGGAGATTATTCGTCAATTCACTGCTTTGATGGAAACAATGTGCAATCACTTCTCGAAAATGAAAGAAGTGAATAAAATTCAGGGCTAGATTCTTCAGGAACAGTGGTTGGAATAATTAATCAACAACGTGTGAAAGCGTGAAAGCGTCATGTTCAATAAAAGTTGAGAATGAGAGTATTGAGAACTGTCTTTCTCACAACGTTAGCCTGATTTCTTAAGATCGTGCTTTAAACCACTTCAATTTAAATATTATTGTTTATGCTATCCCATACTGAACCTACAGAAGAAAAAACAGTGCATTTTTTCATTCAACGACAGAAAGCAATTTGGTGTATGTGAGCCATTCATGGTTCCTACCTTCGAGATAACTTACAAAACAATTCGTACTGTCATCAGAAGCATGAAGTGGAGGAGACTGTGGAGGAGAGGAACGTTGGTGGCATGAATACCAAAAAAAGACGGACAGTGGAATATTGTATTCAATTAGAGGGCACATGAACTCGGTTCCACAGTTGGAAATATACTATTTGAGAGCTATCACTACACGTGAATCCTCCGATGATGGGCTATGTATTGCTGAAATGTTCAGGAATTGACAGATAACAATGTGATGCGAACAAAGCTGCCGCAAACTACGAAATGCATGAGTCTTGAATAGTGATTCTTACATTGAAATATCTGTTTCGCGACAATATCAATGTGAATACTGCGAAGCTTTCAAGAATGCAACAGAAAGAGCAAAAGACAGTTCGAGAAGCGCTTATCGTGGGTAATATTCCGAGATAATGACAAATAGCCGACTATTTTTTCTTCATGATTCTATCGGGAGTACCTTGTATTTTGACAATTCAATGAGACCATATATACATTAATAATATGAACTCCCGAGAGCTTCAGCTCGAGAGAGTTATTCTATGATTATTTATGTTCATATGGTCGAATTGAATTGTATCGAAATACAAGTAACTCGAGATGCATTGAAGAAAATAATAGTTTCCATTTGTCATGGTCGAGTGATATTCAGGAAGATCATTCCATGAACAGTGAAAAAATACTGGTTTATATGAGTTCAAACGTTCAAAGTTACAATTCTGCAGATACTATCTGAAGAAAAATCCTTCTGAAGGTTGTCTGAGTTATTCTCATTATGTCTACGTAAAATTGTGATCAATTCATCTGAAATTAGAGCAAAGTAAGAATATTCAAGCTATTGATTTCGTTAATATTCTCCTGCTTCAGAACTTTCCTTTCTTGTTTGCGGAAAATATTGTAGGCTTCGCCTTTTTGCATTATGCGCAAACCTGGCACCTTTGAATTCGATAATCATATTCAAATGGATCTGTCTCACGTTAATATTCATTGAATTAACTTTCCTGTATATAGTTTTCCATATGAATTTCAACTGTGTATTTCTTATATTCCTCACCATTCTCGTTACCCAATCTTTCACGATTTGGGCAATCACGAGAGATGGGGTAGTCGCACAAAATCCATAGTTTTTCTGCTGGCAAAAAAACATGAATTGTTTCAGACAGACTTTCAACTCTCCTTGTTATTTTCTAATATCGATTCGCTTTCATAATGACAAATTTCCGTAGTAGAAGTTGACCCAAAACAAGACCTTTCAACTTTTGAGTGACTGATAGGTACCTATGTCAAAGTTTGACAACCATAGCACTCTTATGCTGGCGAACAGAATAGCCGCTCATATTGTTTGTTTATCGAAATAGCCGCTGATATCGCATATCATGTGACTTCAATCATGACATTTCATAGGTCCAGCCGAGTGTGAATGCAATAATCAGTAACATCATATGAAGAAAAGTTCAGTCGTGATGAAAGGTCCATCAGAAATAATGAGGTCGCAAGTGGAGTTATATCTAACATGGTTGTAGCAGCGTATTATTTGAAAGCCGTGCTCTCAGTACCGGTGGGGTAACTGTCTACCTACTATCGAATATCGAGGTTGAATATATTATACATATATACATATATATATACATATTCAACCGTAAGTATTTCTACCATACTGCTTGTTATTTTTTGGCATGGAGGACTAGGGCAAAGAAAACTAGGGCATTGAGTTGCCAATGAGACAGGGTCATGTGTTTTCTTATTCCTTCAAGAACTAACCAGAACTCAGGCTGATACCAATGTAATGTTCCACACCGATGATAATTATTTCGTTATCCAAGGACAACATCACCTATGCAATAAGCATTCAATATCCTGATAGATGAATTTCAGATCTATCATCGGAGTGTAGTTATATGCAGGTAAACAGTTCCAAGTGAATTCTATCACACTTCTGCGTATTCCGCCGAATAAGAGGGATGCGATCCAAACCACTATGTGAAAGTTGCTCAAGAAGACAAAAAAATTGCGGCCCATCCACGTGTTGGATGAGTACGTTACCATGATGAGATCCACAACAAAAAGGAAATCAATTATCGTGTGAGGATTGACATCTAGTAATTTTATAGATCTTTAAGCTGCTTAGTGATGAAATGGTCTCGAGTAATTTGAAATATGTAAACGGTGATCAAATTGAAATATCAGACTCCGAAATGATGCGTTCCGAAAAAGGTAACGATTATTTCTTTCACAAAATGAGCTTTCCAGGTCCGAACCAAAAGTAGAGGTTCTTCTTGAGCAAGAAATATACGAGATATATAATCGAAACTCGCATACAATTCAAAATTACCGATAAGTACGAATGAAAAGGCAGATCCGAAGTTTCATTCATGGAAATATGATATACAGTGCTGTTCAATTCTTGAATGATAAGTTTTGCTCGGTTAATCAATGAACAGAAATAAAACTTGAATCGTAGAGAGAGAGAGAACATCTTTATTAGGGATATACCCCAAAAGGCCATTGACCGAAGTCTTTCAGCCCAGTTTACAATTATAATATATAAAGTATGAATATTAATAATAATAGTAATAATAGTTAAATGAGAAAAAAAAAAAAAGTTAATTGCTAATTGCTTTCTTGCTATCCTGTTTGCTGCATCTGGATCAGTCCTTGAAAAATGGTTATTTCTGGAAATTTTCTTTTTCTTGTGTAGTTTTCCGGCATCCCAATAACTTGTGGACTCATCACTGGGATATTGTAGGCGGACTTCGCGAATTTTGTGCTGAGTCCTTGAATCGTATTATCTGAAGAACTGTTTTTTTGAACTTGCGTCATTGTTCTTCTAGGGGTGCAGAGAGATTTATGTATTGAATTTATATGCAGCTTCAGCTGTTCGTGAATTATTTATATATATTCAGATTCATCCAATTCGCTCATTGAGTTCATCGTTTCGAACTATGTTTTTCTTTTCTTATTCGGATGTCACTCGAACAGATCGGTATTCTGTTTCGTCAGTAATAATCATTAAAATTCCTATCAGCCACGAAGTCGGCGTTCAACCTGAACACGATCGTCTTTTATTCAGACAAATTATCGAGTTGGCCACTGCGCTGCCACTTTCCTTCGTACTCGCCAGAGTAAATATTTCATGTAATAAAACAATTTTCTTGCCTCCTTCTCGTTAAATATTTGAGCTGGCAACTCATAGAGCTCACACCGTACTCAAGACATTCGCCTGGGTACATACTCTCAGGAAATATTCATGTGTTCACGTAGTGGAATGATGTTTGCCTCAGTTACTACAAGAAGGTTTGTTGTGCTGTAGAAATTTTGTGACACAAAATACCGATATTCTTATTTGCCTGGAACAAGTCTGGGCAGGTATTCGACTTCTGGTTCTGTGAAATGAAAACATACTGAGTGTTTCATTTGAAATTGCGATGTCAGGAGATGTGAAAGTTCAACTGAAATGTATCTTATTCTCACGTATCTATTTGGTATAGGTATTGGGGAAATTATTCAATTCAATCGCCGAAATAACACTGACAAGCCTTGAAAGGGCTTATACACGTTGAAGTTCCTGTAGGTATTTCCTGAAGTTCTCAAAGTTTTTGCACGAGTTGATTCTCTGATAGCTCACAGAAATAACATTCAGCATGGGAGTAATTACCTGAAAGCTGTGAATTATTTCAATAATTCCGTTCTGCCTCCACACGGAGAGATTCTGGATTCCTCTATTTTTTTCCTTCTGCTTCTGAGCTTTAGAATTGGCGTCTACGTTGATGAGATACCGTTGATTCAATATTGAATAATTTTTCCATAGGTAACTGATGAGTAGATATGATATAACACGAAATTCCGCGTTGATTGAGCATGAGATATCAAATATTTTGTTATGAGTGACCAAAACTACATAAGTCAAGACGTTCTTGTTTCAAGTCGGCAAAATAACTTTCTGATGCATCCTTCATAGTATGCGTCACATCGACATAATTTTCCTTATCAAAATATGTGTGAGTTACTATAACTCTTAGTGAAGGAGAATTGCTTTACAGAAAACCGTTGATACTAGAATTTTTCAACAGCGGAAGTACCATTCTCAGTTTCTGACCAAAATAATAATTTAAAATACCATACAATGGATGGAAACCACTTGAATTATTATATCTCGCTCAGTCTGGGAGATGTCTTCAATATCTGGTTATTGATCAAGAAATAACCTCAGGGTTCTGTAATTCACTCTGATCTATACACAACAAATGACAAAACAGTACATTAATATACGCGAAAAACTTTTACGACCAATAAGCAAGTATAAGTTGATCAAGACACTTGCGTAAGCAATGCATGTCTTGAACCCCTTTTTCCAAGTCCTGTTAGGATGTTTGTCTGCACTTTCTATAGATTGCAGCAGAGCTGGCTTGTCCGTAATCTCATCATCAAATTTTGGTCAAGCATTCTTACCTTATTTGTGTGTGGTATTTGGTATGTGATTCGTAGTTTTGCTTATTTGTTGTTGATAAAAAAGTGATGATTCACCTTTCCTTTTTTTATTGTTGGATGGACGGTATTCGAGTCATTTGTAGAGAAATTCAGATACGTAACCAAATCTTGATGTGTAAATGTGGCTATGATCAATGTTCAATGAGTGAATGAGGTGAAATCCATAATTTTTTCCTTCATGTGGTGAAAAGATCAAAATAATGTGCAGCTATCTTAGAATTCCATCTAAACAAAAAACTTGTTTCATTGGGCAACATGATCATTTCGAGATTCCATTATCAATTGATTGATGTGTGATTGATGTGTACTTCATTCTCAATATTCCTCAGTATTTCTTCAACTCATTATCGATTGGTTTGCTCGAATCACCACATTGTAACCCAAACAGTTTTTGTTATGCGGCGAACATCGTAGTTCAGCGCAAAACCCCTCGTGGCACTTTTCGGAACATCCTCCGGAATTATTCTTATCTCGTTTTCCTTTAATTCAACCCGCAGCTAGTATCATTAACTACTTCGTTATTTCACCCTCTCAATACCAATCTCAGGATTATTTACTCGTGAGATAGATCATCCAAAGGGATCATTGTTAACCAACCGTCCTTCAACGGTTTATCATACTTGATACATATGCTCACTAGAGGCGAAATAGCTTCTTCTCACGATTGGATTGTTGAATATGTTTCGATAATGATAGTATGATATTTGTTAGAATCTCTCCGAATGAGATTTCTCTGTCTATTCAATTATATGACGAGGTTCCTAATTAGTCGAATGAGATCTGTGTTGAACTTGCATCTGCTCAAATTCATCGAATGAAGATGCTTTTTATTGACACTATGACAATTTCCAGTTCCTTCAATTTAATCCTCAATCCTCTTGAAATTGGATCCCATTACATTCGATAGTTCTCTTGACACCTACATTAGTTCATGGAGAATGAGCATTCAACTGATTTGTATATCAAACAATATTATTTTCATTTCTGATTAGCAGTTCGCAATTGAACGTGATGAAACTGAGTTGTCATATTCCAGACTATACAGAAGAGTCCGATTGATCTTAATTCTCCATTAGAGAGGTTGGGGTTCAGACTATCTCAATTTGCTATTTATAAATCGTAGCCTATCTTCAAAGAAATTTTAAGGAAAAGTATAAGGGAGTGTGAAATATCACATGTTGACTCTTTCTGATTTACACTCTCCACTGTTTTGTAGAGAACGTGTTTTTTTTTTTCATCAAATTTGATTGATTCTCCTCAGCCTCATAATATTGTCGGCATATGTTGATTATTTGTCAATAATTTTGTTCATTTTTCTCGATTCTTTGAAGACTAGATATGATGTATTCTCATGATCAAGAAAATCACGGGTAATGTTTGATGAATTGATGAATACCTCTTTTGATTCAACTCTACAAAGAATAAGAGGTTACAGTTATGCGATATCATAGTGTAACCCTCTGAAATTTGTGAAAATAATCATCGACTGGTTGAATTGGAAATCATTCCATATCACTAGGTATGGATAGTTTCGTTTAATTGTTATAAAATGAATCGGTATAAACATAAGGGACCTTCAATCGTGGTATAGGAGTTTTCACAGTTGCTTATGACACACTCTGTCAAATGATTTTTAGCACCCTTTTCAGATTAACTGAATTCCTACCCCAACTGGACGGAGAGATTGGTTCAATATTGGGCAGATTCAAGATCACAAACTCTGGTTGCAATTGTCTAGCAAGCCAAGAACAGCATTGATAAATCCATATATGCAGATGTTCTTTCAGTTTGATACCTCCAATCTCTGAAATGTTCGCTTTCTGAATTCTATTATTTGAGGACCGCTGATTCTTCTGTTATAAGTTTTGGAGTAGATCAAATTTTATTCACTGGACCGATTTCTATAATTCTCTATGCAGATTTCTTTGGCTTTCCACTGTCGAGGAAACTATACGATGAATCGCCAATTATATTGGTAAAGCATTGTGTAGCATGGTTGAGAGATGACTAGTTTGAATCACTTGAGAAAGGAGTGATTTCCGATAACTCATTAACGTCATGTAGAGAGAAAATACATCGAATAACCCAATACCATATTCTGCATATATTGCGAAAGTGAACGTGAATTTGAGTCGATATGGCTTCAAAGAATGATAATGCGACAGAAATTGAGTGGAAAATTCAATCCACACAATTTTCGGTGATGGTGGTGGAGAAGATAATTCAAATATCTGCGCCAACAAAATATTGTTCGCTTTCGTGATATCCCAAATACTGAAGGAAAGCAACAAACGATAGCTTTTCGAACTTGTTCAATGCATGATCATCGGTATTGCTGAATTGGCGTGATTTCATCTTCTTGTCTCTTTGGATAAAAATATTAGTAATGAGTATTTCAAAATACTTGCAGTGAGGAATACTCATATGTTTCATAACAAATATCAGTCAGCTTGAGATCATACTATCAAGAATCATAAACTTGAATAGTCAGAGGGAACTTCTTCGAATAAAGTTCTGAGATGGATGAAGGTATATTTAGTGAAATATGAAATCCCACATATTATTAGACGTTTCGCTATCGAGCATGCTTTTGCTATCGATATAAAATAGGAAATCAATTCTTGAAATCGATTTTTATGTTTCCGCTTTTTGACATTTTCAGATTACTAGTGGTCAACAAAACTTTTGTTGAATTAATAGTAGATCTTAAGTGATTTTGAATGAATCATTTTCGAAATTTCAATTATTTGTAAAAACCGTTTCCTGTTTATATCAAATAATTAGGAAGCAATGTTATCGTCTTCGTTCAGGAAAGTGCAAGCAGCTATTCTGAATTGGATGCTTGGTTATTTTTTATTCACAATTTCGGAATCATTCCACTCTGAAATATATTGCTCGTTTCCAGTTAGGATAATTATAATCAGTCAATTCTGATTTGTGGATTTATCATTCTTATGTTCACATTGGAGAAGGTCCATTTGCTATTTCTGTATAATACTTCTCACTCACATGAAGCATGCTGTTTACACAATTCCTTGATGACCTTTATTATCGGTTATGTTTGAGTGAGAATTGACCCAATAATATTTTTGATGAATTCACTGATATTGATGAAAAATTTTCAGGTGACTCAATGTTTTACGAGTGGAAGTGATTCTCAAATAAAATACGACCACATTTTTCGTAGGTACCGTGCACAGTATCGGGTAGGTACTGTGCACAGTATCGGGTAGGTACTGTGCATAGTATCGGTAATTTCTGGCAGATGAAACTGGCAAATTTTGAATTTTTCATTTTCATATTCATAATGGTAACTGGACCCATCGAATTATTTCATCATATTCATAAGTAACATTGAGATAACGAGAATAACCTTGTGTAATTATTCGTAACACATCAAGTATGAATGAGTACATTTCAGTAACCCAAGCAGTATACGAAATGGAATCGTTTCTACCCCTTGCTTTTCTAGTTTCATTCACATTGCATTTACTTTGCGGATACATCACGTAGATCTATACATTTACAGCGTTGAAATGCCAATGAATATCCTTACCTCAGCCGGAAAAGCGTATCCATTTATCGAATGTTCGGAGCCGAATTGATCGTGGAGGCCGTAGTGAATGTGGATCTCTTGAAATTGATATTTATAGGACAGCGGACCTCCGGTCACATTTATGTGATGCCGAGTATCATTCTCTACGGTGAATATGACGCTGTGGCCCGTGTTCATCATTGACCCGCTCACCTGCAACAGGAGAATGAAATTCAAAACCTCCGTCTAAGGTGCTACCATAAATTCACATTCTACAAAAGTGTCCTTTCTCAAAGCATTATCTTTCGAACCGATAAAGAGTTTTCTGACAACGGCTGTAAAACATCATTGCTCTTGTTTTACTGTGTTCGATACATCAATGAGGTACTTTGTATGTCATTAATCTTATATTTTCATTTGATATCACAATGACTCCATTGTGTTATTATTTCAAAAAAATCTCATTGCTCATGGAATTTTCAAATTGCAAGCAATGACAGCTCTGTCTGATAGATGAGCATTACTTGACATGAAATCAGATGGCGATGAGCCAAAGAAATCGAACATGCCGCTGTTATCAGTTACAGCCGTAGAAAAATTATAGTGCATAACTTACACGGAATGCTTATTTCCTACTCGAATGATAGCACCATTCGCCTATGGCTCATGCTGCGAACTTTATTCTCGTAGGAAATCACTATCATTCCGTGCTCGTTAAACAATATACTATTGTTTTGTGACTCATCATCAAATACTTAAATGGACATAATAGTTTGTACTGATTCCGCCGGTACTCGATAGTGAATATGCAAAACTTCAAGAACAATACGATTTTCACGAAATTCACAATCATTTCACGACATATTTTGCTGACACAGTTGGCGAACTCGAATTATAAAACTGATCAGATATTGATTCGCTCAACTAATATGTACAGGGTCTCTATTGAAGATCGTTGTGACCGTTGATATATTTTTCTGATTTGTTGCTATCCGCATATATGGAGATCGAACTATAACACATTCGGTCGCTTAAATGCCAGTGAACAACATGAGCAAGAGTGCGTCACTATTCCAACGGCTACTACGATGCTATGATCGATAAAAAACCTGTACTCACGGACCCAAAGGATCAAAAATGGCAGGAGTATCTTATTCAACGATCAGTGATGAGACCTCAAAAACTCACTGCTTCTGAATTCGAGTCTCAGAGCTGGCTGAATAGAAAAGTTCATCATCGATACATGACTAATTCCTTTGCCAAGATGACTAGTTTTATAGCAAAATTCGAATGATGTTGTCTGCCAACGTGACATCGTAGCTTTTAGCAGGGGTGGACAATCGAATAGGTGAAAATCTAATGTTATAATTTCCATAAAATACAGGGGTTCTTATCTTATCATCTATTTATAATTGAAAAACGCAGAAAATTGTCGGCAGAAAATCTGTTAATGGAAAAAATGCTAGCAGGAATCGGAGAAGTGACCTAAGATTTTGAAATGAAAAAATCATATACATCAATACAGTTTGATTCCATTTTACATACTTCCAATAAATAAGCCACATGCTACATGGCACAGAAGAACAGTGGCTTGCTATGGCAAGCTATGGCTTGAGCGCTTTCATATCAATCAATCAACCAGAATTTTGCCGAATTCTGAAAGTAAAATTGACTACGTATGCTCCAATTTATATCAAGAAAAGGTTATTTGCTCAGATATGTCAGCAAACATCTCTGACCATGAGGCTATTTCCTGTGAATTTGAGATTATGTATAACAACAGTAACAATAAATGTAAATTTGGTAGATTATTCCGTGGAAGCAATTATAAGACATTTTACAATAATTGTCTGATTGCCAAGTGGAATGAGGTGCAGTTTGCCGATGATCCCTTTTTTTCGTTTCATAATATACTATCCTACTGCTTTGAAATGTCTTTTTTCATTCAAAAAATTAGAATTCAAAACAGAAAAAAAAATTGGGATGACTGAAGGAATTCGTATTTCAGTATCAATCTGGGAAGTCTCCATCACATCAGGAAATACTACAACAATGACTCCATTCATCACTATTATATTACCTACAGAAGAATTCACAGAAATGTTATTGAGACAGCAAAACGATTGTATTACCATAACAGAATTTCCAAAAGTAGTAATATCCCCAAGGACACCTGGCGTGTTGTGAATGATCTTCGTGAGAGAAATCCTGTTTTAAATTATATTACTTCAGACCCCAACATTCTTAATGAATTCTATTGTTCCATAGCTGAAAATTTGGCTGGAGAAATGGAAGTGGCATCAGACCCGCTACTCTATATGACAGATATTTTCGTTACTGACATATTTGTTCTGGATGATACTGATTTGGCTGAGCTAATGGATACAATAAAACATTTGGAAAATGAAACGTCCCGTGGAAATGATAATATTTCAATAAGAAAACTCGAGAATATGCCGTTATTCACACAAGAACTTCTGGTCCAGATGATCAATGATTCTTTCTCGAAAGGACTTTTTCCGACTTTTCTCGAGATCAGCATAGGTATTCCTCTTCACCAAGGGGGAGATAATTCGGATCCTACAAATTTTGGCACTATTTCTCTTATCCCGACCTTAGGAAAAATTATTGAGAGATTGGTTAAAACTAGAAAGATGAAGTTTTTATTTGCTTGAAATGTTCTGAATCCTCAACAATTTGGGTTCCAACCACAAGAAAGCACATGAGACGCTGTTTTTTCATTTCTAAAAGAATTGTATAAAAGAGTCAATCTCAAAGAGATTTGCGCAGCAGTATTTTGTGACCTGTCGAGAGCTTTCGATTGTGTAAATCATGGAATACTCTTGCGCAAGCTCTTACGTTATGGTTTCAGGAATCAGAGCCTTAGTTGGATCGAGTCTTATCTGAGTGAACGTATACCCAATTCGTTAACACAAATACTAACTCAGGAAGTTAAACATGGTGTAACAAAGGGCTCTGTACTAGGACCTATCCTGTTCTTATTGAATTTTAACGATTTGGCTAGACTCAAGATCGATGGTAGTTTTACTATATTCGCAGACGACACGACCATCTTGTGGCATGAGACCGATATTAATAGATATCACAGAAGAATTGTAAATGACATCTCCTCTGTAGAAAGGTGGTTCAGCTCAAATTTACTCTGTTTGAATATAAATAAAACTCATCTCCTATCATTCAAATGTAATCTACCAGATATTCCTTTGAGTACTGAAGTTATCATTGAGCAAACGTATACGAGAAAATTCCTTGGAATCGATCTGGACATCAACTTAAATTTTGAGAACCATGTGAAGTCTTTGAATACAAAACTAGCACGTGGGTGTTATGCTTTGCGAATGGTGGCGACAGAACTGGGTATAGCCATTGCGAAGGTAGTATACCACGCTCTGATAGAATCACATATCAGGTATGAAATACCTTTTTGAGGTATCTGCAGCCAACAAAACTTCGATAGTGTCTTCGTTCTTCAAATCCGTGCAGTTCGATACCTTTGCAAAGTTGGGCCAAGAGTATCTTATAAACCGCTGTTTGGTCGAATGAAAATCTTCACCCTTCCGTTGTTATTCATTCTCGAAACAGTGTGTCTAGTAGGTACATAAAAATAAATCATCATACGAGGTAACAGTTGGTATCACTAGATAAAGTAACAATTTGCGATAACCTATTCCGTCTTCAAATTCAACGAAAAACTCTCTGATCTATAGTGCGATTAAACTATATAATCACCTTCTTTTTGCCTTCAAAAACATAGTTTTGCCGTCTCATTTCAGGAGATCTGTCAAGCGCTAATTTATCGATGAGGTTTTTTATAATGTTCAAGAGTTACTTGAGAAAGATTGGAATAGTTGAAATATATGTCTATTTTAACATTTAGGAATAATTGTATTCCAATGCTCAATTCATTTTGTATCTGTCTGTTCTCTTTTATTTTTCTCTTGTGTTCACGTAAATATGTATTTATTATAATAATTGTGACAATCTATAGTACCTGCTATATACTATCCATTTATATATTCTCATTTGATTATCCATTTCATATTCAACATGACTTTTTTAATGAGATAACAATCTTCTGATAATAGAGTATATTCTGATTCGATTGGATTTGATCAAAATCAGTGTGTTGAACCACGAAAGAATTATGGGCACATGTATGATATTATGCTCCGAGTGACTATAGAAGAAAAGACATGTTTATTATTTCGATATTTCAAACATGTTATTTAGGTAAATCTTTGGATACTATCTACTTCTTTTCATCGGTCAATTTCTGAAAATGGGAAGTTGTTGTTGTGCGATTTCTGATTGATCAACTCTGATCATGAAATATGGTGTAGATGAAGTTTCGAAGTGAGACTTTAAACAAACCTTGAAACCTCTTCGTGATTAAATTCGTTAATCGTTCCTAAAAGGCGAATACGAGCACATGTCGAGAGATGATATAAGCACTCAACTCTATATGTATAAACTTTAAGTCCTTACTCTATGTTTATCGATGTGGAGGGGTCGAAGATTGGGGTCGAAGAGCAGCTTACTCGGTTCCAGATTAACGGGCGATTGTCTTCGGCCCTTGTTGCACAATGACCATTCAGGATTTATGAGACCCCAGAAAGCTGGACCTGGAAATAATTGAGAGGCATCAGTTGGTGTAAATATACGAATATAAAGTGATGGGCAGAAGTGTGAAACTAATTGAATATCTTGGCAGGTATATAACTGTTTCTTATTTCCGTTTAAATTTTTGTACATGGTGAATTCAGAACAGATCAAAAATATTTTGGCCAATGATGAACTGAACAACTAACACAAACTGGAAATGATTTCATCAGATATATTCAGGCAATGAAGAATTATACATACATGGGAATAATTGATGATTTGCATTCTCTATCTGATGAATATATTGATTTTCGCCTGATTTATTCAACAGAGAACTATCTGTCTTCCCAAAAAAGTATAAAGAATTTTATCAGATAGAGAACGGGTACTCTCGATGTTTTTCTTTATAGGTATATATTTCTTTTCATGGTCATGATATATCTGAGAATATCCGTTTTCAATACTCTAGTACCTTATCGAGGGGTTCAATCGTGAACGACAGAAATTTGTTATTTTCTGATCCTAGATTCGTGATTGGGTTTTCTCAGTTCCGATCTCAGAATTCGTTTTCACGCCCTTTTATGATGAAT